GATTCACTCCCCAAGTGACCATAACAGCTGGTGCAGTGCAGATCCGAAGCCAGGAGCCAGGAACTTCCTCCAGGTCTTCCACACAGGTGCAGGGTCCCAAGGCTTTGGGCTGTCCTTGACTGCTTTCCCAGGCCACAAGCAGGGAGCTGGATGGGAAATGGAGCTGCTGAGATTAGAACTGATGCCCATATGAGATCCCGGTGTGTTCAAGGTGAGGACTTTAGCCACTAGGCCACTGCGCTGGGCCTAGTTATGCTGTTTCTGATCCAGCTCTCTGCTAACACACTTGGAAAGTAGTGGATGATAGTTCAAGCACTTGTTCTCCTGCTGTTCACGTGGGATACCTGTATGGAATTCCTGACTCCTGGCTTTGGCTGGCCCAGCTCCAGCTGTTGTGGCCATATGAAGCAAAAAAATGGAAATCTCTTTTTGTCCTTATCTTTCCCAGTGTCACTCTGCCTTTCTTTCTCTGCTTCTTAAAATTATTTATATATTTCTACTGGAAAGGCAGTCTGACCGGAGAGGAAGAGAGAGAAAGATCCACCATCCACTGGTTCACTCCCCCAATGACCACAGGGGCTGGAACTTAGCCAAACTGAAGACAAGACCCTGGAGCTTCATCTGGATCTCCCATGTGGGTGCAGGGTCCCAAGACCTCGGGCCGTCCTCGACTGCTTTCCCAGGCCACAAACAGGGAGCTGGATGGGAAGAGGAGCTGCCAGGACATGAACCGGCATCGATATGGGATGCAAGTGGGATGCTGGTGCTTGGAGGTGGAGGATTAACAAGTTGAGCCATTGCACTGGCCTCATTACTCTGCCTTTCAAATAAATAAATAAATGTATGTTTTAAAAGGGCAGTGTGAACCAGGAATATTTAGGAAATAGAATGTATATCTGTGTTGAAGGGATGGACAAGAAGAGGGGCTCCAAGGCCATGGCTGAGCTTCTGGCCTAGGGAAATGAACTGCAGGAGGCCTACAGAAGAATGACCCAAACTCGACAGAGACAGAAGCCAGTCCTGTGCAGTGTTCCATTTGTTATCTGGTGCAGCTGCAAGGCGATTCTTGCAGCCAGTTTTCAGACTCAGGGCAGCATTTCAGAGGAACCCATGAAGCAGACCCCGGGGAGTACATCAAACCACCAGAGGCAGCTATGTCAATTCCAGGGAGCTTGCTTCCTTTCTGCTCCTGTCTGGCAGGGTGAACATGGCCAGCAAAGAACGCTGTCATTGCTTAACTGCAGATGCAGTAGAAAGCAAATTGAGCAAAGTACAAAAGTGCAAAGCAAAATCACCTTGGGTTCAATTTTCAATCAACATCAGTATTTACTCAACCAACATCAGCCCTGTGTTTAGGGCTTCAAACATAAAGGGCATATATTGGACACAATCTGAGGATTCATCTTCAAACAGGAGCACTTCTTCTTTTTTAAGATTTATTATTATTATTATTTGGGCCCAGCACAATGGCCTAGTAGCTAAAGCCCTCACCTTGAACGCGCCAGGATCCCATATGGGCACCGGTTCTAATCTTGGGAGCTCTACTTCCCATCCAGCTCCCTTGCTTGTGGCCTGGGAAAGCAGTGGAGGATGGCCCAAAGCCTTTGGGTTCCTGCACCCATGTGGAAGACCTGGAGGAAGTTCCCGGCTCCTGGCTTCGGATCAGCCCTGCACCAGCTGTTATGGTCACTTGGGGAGTGAATCATGGGACAGATCTTCCTCTCTGTCTTTCCTCTTCTCTTGTATATCCGACTTTGCAATAAAAATAAAATCTTTTAAAAAGATTTATTATTATTTAAAGCTTTATTTCATTTTTTGTGGGAAAGTCAGATCTACAGAGAGGAGAAAAGACAGAGAGGAAGATCTTCTGTCTGATGTTCGCTCTCCAAGCAGCAGCAATGGTTGGAACAATGCCGATCTGAAGCCAGGAACCTCTTCTGGGTCTCCCACACGGGTGCAGGGTCCCAAGACTTTGAGCTGTGCTCCACTGCTTTCCCAGGCCACAAGCAGAGAGCTGGATGGACAGCAAGGTCGCTGGGACATGAACTAGTGCTTATATGGGATCCCGGTGTGTGCAAGGTGAGGACTTTAGCTTCTAGGCTACTGTGTCGGGCTCAAGATTTATTTATCTTTACAGGAAAGGCAGATTTACAGAGAGGAGATACAGAGAAAGATTTTTGTCTGCTGGTTCACTTCCCAGTGGCCACAACTGTCAGACTTTAGCCAATCCAAAGACAGGAGGCAGGACCTTTGTCCAGGCCTCCCATGTGGGCGCAGGTTCTCAAGGCTTTGGGCGATCCTCTACTGCATTCTCAGGCCACAAGCAGGGAGCTGGATGAGAAACAGAACAGCCAGAATATGAACCAGCACATATGGGATGCTGGCACACAGAAGGTGAGCAATTGGCAACCAGCCATCCTGCCAAGCCCATGAGTACTGCTGCTTATGGTAAATTAGTACATTGGCATTTGGGTTTATATCAGTCTCTCCTGCATTTTGTCATCTTGTGTCTTGTTGTGGTCCGTGCAGTGGATGTGGGGGGACATGAAGGTGTGAAGAGTATTGTTTCATTGCAGGCAGGGCCGCAAGGAATTTCCCGCTGTATGGCAGGGCCCGATGGATATCTCTACAACCACCTGAATGCAGCTCCACCTTCCTTTGCATGGACACTGACCACCCTGCGGAAGAACTCTAATCCATTCAGGCATTATTTGCTACTGTGGAGCTGGCTCTTTTACTCAATGTGAGCTTGGAGGTTAATGTCAATAATAACGTCTTGCAAAAGGGCCTTCTATTATTCCTACTGTCTTGGCTGTCCCCATTGACCTTATGCTAATCATGGGACCTGTATTTAGGGTTTCATTCTTTCCTTGATCTTTAGGTTCCCCTTTTCTTTGTGATACAAGATTGAGTTGTAGAATAAGAATAGTAGCAGGAACTTCTATTGCTTTTAGGTAAACAAATGGCAGAATTATCCTTAGAAACACCCACTTGACCATGACGTAAAAAGTCTGAGCCAGAGTTTGACTGTTTCTGTATAAATAAAGTGGACAGCTTTTGTGCAATGTCCATTATGATCATGGAATCGTAGTGGTCCATTTCTTTCCTCTTTATGCCTCATCTATGCACCCTTCTCGAGTTCCGAACTCAGCTGGAGCTGGACTCCGGCAGTGTCTAATCACCTTATCTATATTGAATTTCTGAATTGTAAAGTTGATAAAGAGTCTTTGAAAAGAAATATACACACATTAGTTATTTGTGCAGAGAGATCAGGATCACCTGAGTCTTCCTTGTGGGTGGCAGTCATGAAGTACCACAGCCATTACCACGCTTCCTAAGGTGTTAGCAGGAAACTGGAATCAGGACCCAGGACTCAAGCCCGTATGCCAATGCTGTGCGCTGGCATCATAACTGCCACGCCCAAATCCAGCCTCTGCTGAGGAGACTCAGGGGAGAATCATTCTGTTGGCAATGATTGGTAGGTCTCTCTGCCTTTGTTCTACGAGTAATTCTAGGGCAGGAAGAGGCCAGATGAAGTTTCCAAAATATTCTCTGCAATTAGAAACAGGTGCCCATGTTGATCCCAAGTGTCTCTGCAGGATGAGCATGAGCCACACGCCTTCGGTTCCAAACAGAGCTTGTTCAACACCAGACCCAGCACACTCTTCCCACTTCCTGTCCCTGTCTCCAGGATTTAGACAATCTTTTGGGTTGCAAATGCAATCTCCACTGAATTGACCAAATCATGGTTTGGTTCGGTCCTTGCTTTCCAAACAAATGGCAAGATCTGAGATAGCGAGGGCCATCTTGAACCAGGACAAAGCCCAGCTTGCAGGGGTCAACTCAGTGGAGACCAGGGCACACCTTTGTCCAGCCATCCCAAATCCAGTGTCACCAGTGGCCTCCACCAGGCCACCCGGCTCAACCCCAACGTGAGCAAACCCACGTGCCTGAGGTGCACTGGCATGTGTTGGCAGGGAGGCCTTTGTCTGCCCAAGATGTCACCAAGGCATCATGAGTGATAAGGAAGCAGTGATAACATCTCAGACTAGTGACTGGAAGGGCATGAGTATACAGTGAAACCATAGCAAGTCTAGATGGACCTGGTCTCTTTTGCTTCTGGTCTGACGGTGAAAATCCAGCAAGAGACAAAAACATACTGAGCGTTACGTTCATACGACATTGTCAAAATGGCCTGTCAGATTCTCCCATTGTTGTCCAGAGAACCTTCTGGAACCATTAAGGAGTATTGCCCCATCTATGGACTGCCTTGCAGGTGCCACTTCACTCGTGACATCACAGTTTACATCAGCAGTGGCGCAGCTGGAGGCACAGCTGTTTCAAAAGTACTAAAGACGGTTTCGGGGCGGGATCATCGGGCAACCAAAAACAAAACAGCAATTACAGAAAACACCAAGCCACCAACGGACGTTTTTTTTTCTTTCAAGTCGTTCACTGCAATGAAAGTTTCTGGAGTTGAATCACGCGCAGGTAACAAAAACCACAGACTGACGCAATCTGCTTTCTTTTTAGGCTTCCAAAGGCAGGCAGGTGAGTCTCCACGGCTCTCCCACGTTCCCCCAGCCCGCGTCGTGCAATTTAGCGTTGGGGCAGCCCAAAACGCAGTGGCTACAACACAGCGCCAAACAACGGGGCTCCCAGCACCACAAACTGTGGAGACTGGTGATGGCGGAGAGGGGCCGGAGCTTCAAGATGACTTTGTGTTTTCACAGAGGCGTCCGGAGCGGACCCCCGGGGGCACAAGGTCACGGCGCGAGTCCGGAAGCCGCCACCCCGCGGGGCGCGTCCAGGACGGCCGAGCACGCGGCCGCTCACCCTGCGGCGCCCGGGCGAGCCGGCCGGAGCCTATCCCTGAGGAGCCGGCCGGGAGGCGGCGCGCCCAGGGCGGCAGGGCCGACGCCCCGCCCCGCCCCGTGCGCCACGATTAGAGCCGTGACTCAGGGCGGAGCTCCGCTGCGGGCCGCGCCGCCGCCAACTTCTCTGGATGGGGCCAGAAGTTTCTAGCCGGCCAGTTGCTGCCGCCCTCTTCTCTGCTCCTTCCCCTTTGGCAGCGAGGAGGCTATTTCCAGACACTTCCAGCCCTCTCCGGCCACGTCACCCTCGCCTTTAATTCATAAAGGTGCCCGGCGCCTGCTTCCAGGACACGTCGGCGGCGCGCAGGGCTCTCCCTCCAGCGGCGGCCCACGCAGCGACCGTGCGCCCCCAGGCCCGAGACCCCCGCGTCCGGCATGAGCGCCGCCACCCACTCGCCCGTGGTGCAGATGGCGTCCGGCAACAGCGACCCGCTGCCCCCCGGCTGGGAGATCAAGGTCGACCCCCAGACCGGCTGGCCCTTCTTCGTGGACCACAACAGCCGTACCACGACGTGGAACGACCCGCGTGTGCCCCCTGAGGGCTCCAAGGTGAGCCGGGCCCGCGGCGTCCGGACGGGGCGTGCCCGGAGGGCCGCGGAGCTCGGGGCCGGCCGCCCCCACGATTCGGGCACCCGAGGGCCCACTCGGGGCCGAGTCGCCTCCCAGGACCCGCCCTGGACCGGCGTAGGGGCTAACGAGGCTCCCGGAACGGCCGGGCGGCTCTGTCCCAAGACCCAGAGACTGGGGATGAGGGGGCTGGAGACGGTCTAGTGGTCCGAGGTTCGGGGAGGGGCGTCCGGCCTGCTCGGCCGCGCAGACTCGGCCCCGCGGCGGCCTTGCTCGTCCGCTCGGCCCCGGAGACTGAGCCAGTGAGCGCAGTGCGTGCGGGGGATCTTTTGGAATGGCACCCCTGGTTGCGGGGTGCTTGACTTGAACCCTCCGGAGCCTGGGTCGTTTTCCTGGCTGCTTTGGGGAGTGGAGCAGGGGGCTGCTGCTGGAATCTGCTGTCCAGGCGAATGCCCTCTAGTGTGACTCTAGAAAAAGCCAGGTGCTCCTCTCCCTGGCTGCAGTTGGAGAAAAAGGAGAAAGGAAGCGCCTTTTCCTTGTTATGGAATTCAGATACTCCGCACTTGTTTCCGCAAATATCTGATGAGCGAGCCTCGAGTGTGGCAGGTGTGTGCCTCCCTACGCATGTGCAAGGAGGTGTGCCTCCTCCCGCTCAGAAATAAAAATGAAAACAGAAAATTAGAACGAGTCTGTTCCTTAGAAAAATGATAATCTCTTGGCTCCCCTGGCCGCTTTCTGTAAGTCTGAATGGTTTCACCCACATAACTACTTTGAAAAATGAGGAAATACTCTTCAAGAGAGTCTGGGTTCTAGAAGCAGTGCAAAGCTGGTAAAGATTTATAAACTTACACAATCAATTCTAGATGCTTTGTAGACCGCAATTTTAGAAGAAAGACCTGTATTATCTGCCTTTTTAAAAAAAAATTGATAAAACTTTGCCCAACTAAGAGATACTGTGCAGTCAGCAGTTTTACATTTACGAGAAATTAATTGTATGCTCATTCCTGAAAATTGATGGACGAGGCTGTAATTAGCTGGGATGGACATAATTACATATACCCTTTTGTGTGTCTGTTTGGCCCTGCGTTGGGTGGAACCCAAGCTCCTGGTGGCTCTCTTGCTGCAGATACGGGTTTCTAAAGTGGAACCCTGAGCTGGCCCTGAGGTCCCCTTCCTGTACTTATGGGGCAGCCGGATCTGTGGGCACCCTGTGTCCCCTAGCGAAGATCCAGTTTGAACGTTATTTGTTGCTAGCACTTTGTTTTCAACTTGAAACTTATCCGGCAGGTCCCCATGGGTGGCTAGGATTAGGCTGTGGTTTCATAAACCTTTCTAAGGAGAGAAAAACAGGTTGAGCTGCTCTCAAAGTCCCCAACAACTAGAAACCAGTGAGTGGATCAGAATCCTGGCCAGCCCAACCGCGGAAGGGCAGGCAGAAGGCTGAGGTTTAAAGTTTTGGAAAGCCTTTAGTCCCAGAGAATTCCTGTTTGTGAAGGTCACCCAGGCTATTGCCGAAGCTGGGACAGAGCTCTGTGGGAAGTCCTGATGAGAGGCAGTGTCTCAGTTCCCAGGAAGTCAGAAGGGGCTTGAATTGTTATGAAACTGACGCATGTTGCAGGCAGGGCATTCTTGATTCCGGAATTATCTTTGTGTCCTCTCTCTGATGGGGTCACTGCCTTCCCTCCACTGTGCATGTTTAGATTTTCGGTGGTAGCTGTGGCCAACTCCAGAAGGGCTTTCTGGCCACCTGGACTGGTCAGTGGGGCATGCTAGCAGCGGCCACTGGCAGCAAGGGGCCGCTGGTGGCAAGGGGCCTGCGGCTTCAGTCCGGTGCTTGGTTATTCACTCCTTCGGGGGTGACTCACTTGGTTTCACTTTGCTGTAGACCTAACAGAAAGCCCTCAGATCTGATTTTACTTGAAAAATAGGGTTTTTAATGTGGAGTAACAAAAGGAACAAGGCCTGAAACTGGAGATAGGCGGGCAGAGCCGAGCCTAGGTCCCTGCGAGCACCCTCATTTTCCAGAGCCAGGGCTGTGAGCGAGTGAAGGTCAGGAACGTGGGGCGACTCAGCTGGGCAATGTTTGCAGTCTGATCCTGTCGGTGAAGAACTGGAAAGGAGAAAGCCTAGAACCTAGTGTGTGACTTGGCCTCCATAACCCGCCCAGTGGTTGGTCTTCCTGTATCCTGGTTTTTACTGAGGAGCAAGGGAAGGCAGGATCCCGTTTTCTGCACAAGTTGGCTTCCTACTGACCTGGCAGGTTCCTGCCGGTCCAGGCTCCTCCCAGACAGAGGGTTGGCGTTCACTTTGGAGTCAGGACATGCACATTTCCTGTGAGGCCACGCCCCCGGCTTGCTGCCCTGGATAAACAGCCATTCCCTCTTGTGCTCCCTGGGGGGAACAGGGCCACCCTAGCTCTGGGTCTTCAGGGTCGCCCAGGCAGTGTGCAAAGCGGCGGAGGGAGCCATCTGAGATGTCTGTTCCACTGTGGAATGGAGCTCAGAAATCTCCCATGGTTTCTGGTCATCCTGATGGTGCCCATTGGCCCTGGATTCACTCCAGGTCCGTGAGCCGCTCTGGTAGGCAGGGAGTTGGGATTGGATTCTCCTGAGGGAGACCTGCTTCCCATCAGGTCCTCGGGAGTTCTGTCCCAGCTGCCACGTGGTTCCTCGTGCATGCTGTTCCTGGACTTCCGGAAGGGAGTGTTGGGGGGACGAGTGGGGACAGCATCCTGTGGAGTCTAGCAGGGGGCAGGTGAGCTGGAGATCCTCCTACAGCCCCGGAAGAAGCGAGCCCCCGTCCTGCTTTCCCAGCAGAACCTCTGTGATCTGTGGCACCCAGGTCCCCGGAGAGGGGGAGAGGTCGAAACCTTTTTCAGAGGCAGTTGGCACCGTGTGGGTTATGTCCGCAGTGGACCTGTTCGCTCTCCTTCAGGTTCACCAGAGCCTCCGGAATGTTCTCAGAGATGAGCCCATTTTGTCCTCTCCTGATCGATGGCAAGCTCCTCAGCGGGAGTAGTGCGTTGGAGTCACTGCTGAATGGACTTTGGTCAAACCATGATCTGTCACAGGACAGATGAGGGGCCTGGTCAGATGTCTTGAGAATCCAGCTCCTGGAAGACCCTCATGTGCCCCTTCAACAACAGCCTGTGTTTGGCTCACGTGAGAACTGCCCCTGTTATGTGGGGGAGACTCAAGGATAGCGTCAGTCTGGCGGAGTGGGCAGGCTTTGCCGGCAGCCAGGGCCGGGGAGGCCCAGTGCTGATGCTGGCCGGGTTGGTGAGTCACGAGGCTTGAAACCACTGTGCGCCTTGGTTAGCACTGTGCTTCTCCTGGGATGACACACTGCTACCTTAGGTAAACTGCACCATAGGTTTATTACTTCTTGACATTTAACAAGGATGCTCTGATGTTTATCATCCCAAATAGGAAACCGTAGATAATCTCAGCTGCCTCATTCTCCTTGCGGTTTTGCTGTTTCAGTGCTTAGACACCTTGTGTAGAACTGGGGTTGGGTGGGAGAACTTTAAGCTTCTCCGGCATGGACAGATCTTCATGGTTGCCCAGGTCACTCTCTGGGCCTCCTGCTTCCCATGGACCTGCACTAGCTTTGCACCCCTAACCTGCTTCTGCCTTGGAACTTCCACAGCTGGACTCTGGAGGGAAGATTCCAGATCCTTCGTCTTGCAGCTAAAGGGGTTGATCTCTGTCACTGGGCTCTCTGGACACCAAGTCTTCCTGTCTTTGGGGCATTGACAGCCTTGTAGAAACCAGGCAGCTTGCAGAAGCTTAATGTGAGAATTTCTTTAGTGAATAATGAGTATAAGACGTGCTTGGATATATGTGCCAGGTGGGAGTGGGCTGCTGCCAGCCTTCTCTCTAAAGCCTCCATTCGGCTCTTTGAGCCAGAAGCTGTTAAGTGTGATTAGTGAGTGGGGAGACAGGCCTAGCCCTCGGCAAAGCAGGAAGACTCGGTAACCTCACTGCCTGCAGGGTGACAGGCTGTGCTCTGCGGCTCTGGCTGCTGTTGCCTCAGCTGCAGGTCAGAACCACCCTGAGTCCACCTTGGGCCCATCGGTCAGAAGTGTGGGCCTATTTCCTGAGCTCCGTCTGAAGTAGGAGATAGGCTCATGTCTTCACTCCCTCATGCTGTCACAGGAGCACAGCGCACCCTGCATGCAAGTCACAGTGGGAAGTGGCACAGGGAGACAACCCTGCCTCGTGTCATGCTCCACAAAGCGAGTCCTGCCGCGTACTCTCACTGAAGTCTTTTTTCCCCTAAGGTTGGTGCTTTCCTGCTTTGCCTCCGGGTCTCCTCCCTGTTGAGTCCCAGAGGCCCAAGGCCAGCCATCTGTTTCATCCCCGCCTCGGTGCCTAGTGGGAGTACAGCTCTAAGAACTGAGCCAGTGGGGCCGTGGGAGCAGGAGACCTGGGCTTGGTCACTCCAGCACCTGTGCTGAAGCAAGTGTAGGACACACCTGCCAGGAGCCTGGTATTAGGGCCTCAGTCCTGTGGCATTGTCCTGCACACCTGCCTGCCTTCCCCAGATGAACCCTGGAGGCCAGCTCCTTGTGAGCAGTTTCTGAAATGTCTTTTTCTGCCCAAAAGGCTTCAGGATTCATTCCATGCATCCGTGGAGAAGCACTCTTTCACTTTTTAATTTTGAGGGGCAGGGTGTGGATGCTCCCGCCCCATTCATTTGTTCACTTCCCAGATGTTGGCAGCTACTGGGCTGGCTAGACCTGAACCAGGTCTCCCAGATGGGTGGTAGGAAGCCAGTGGAGCCGTCCCTGTTGCATTCCAGGGTCCACGTTGACAGGAAGGTGGCATTGGGAGCTGGAACTGGGAATTGAACCCTGGCAGTCTAACCTAGGACACAGGCATCTTTGGGCTCCCGCAGTAGCGCTCTCTTTCTACCAGTGACTCAGCATCATCTTAAAAAGCACTTTCACATTTCTTTGACAGAGGAACAGAACGTGCTGT